CAAGCGTTATTCCACCATCTTTAAATAGAGCTGGGGAGCTGAACAGCACTTGCCTAACTTTCTCACTATTCAGTTTAGCCGTGTTCTGATTCATGACCATGACGTACTGTAGCGAATTTTAGTTACGTAATCCAAACAGCGTACCAAGTTGGAGTTCTCTCGCGCTCATTACCAAACACATGACTCATCTACCTTTCTGTTTGACCCTATTGAAATTGTTTCACATATGTTCGCCTACATTATTTGTTGATAAAATTCCGAAGTGAACTTCAATACTCGTTTCGGAAAAGCCCGTGTCGTTAGTTTTCGTCCGTCCATGTGATATCCTTTTGCAACGACTCCGGCGTCGACGGCAAATACACCGAATCGGTTTATCGTCTGATTTCTGCGCTCCAGCATCCTACTGCTAACGTGGACACCGTTAACTGTTTTGTTTCTGCCATACTCACCAGCGCCTACGACCGGGCGGATATGCCTTCGCACCTCGCCACTCACTGCAAAGCGTAACATTTTCACGCTCTTCAAGTAGTCCAATCCACCAATCACGGTAGGTGATATGACAGCCGCGTGCATATGCACTGGTCCATTGACGCACGATGAACCAAATATTGACTCGCCAATACTATCACCGCTCATTCACGTGACCGGTCAGTGCGGCGTCTGATGCCACTCTATCGTGATGAGTGGATGTGGCGCAGAGTTGAAGCGACGGAAGGTGCTATCACTCGGCCAAGGGAAACGGAATGTGCTGTGTGGTGGCCATAGCAGTTATAAATACCCGCTTCTCTTCTGCGTACTTTACATGTCACACTGATATTAGCAATGAGTAAAAGCGACATGAACATTTAAATGTCACTTAGAAAATTAGACCTTTGAAATGTACTTTCTGGGAGTTCAGTGATTCTGTGTACTCCAGAACTGTTTTAATTATGTTGATTTACTGGTCTTACTGCGGATGATGCATTTGGTACAGTTTCGTAAACTCGATCGAAGACACTCAAGAGTTTAAATGGATGATACAATTGTCACAGTTAAGTAATCCCCAAAATTATGCACGAATTCTAGAGCCAGACGAGAACTGCTAAAGTACACTATCAATAAAAGTTATTTGCCTTCAAATTGTTCGAAGAACCAACGAGTGTAACAGCCACGACATCGGTCCAATCAGCGGATGAAATCAAACATTTTCAAGTTTTGGCGGTGCCTATTGAATGTAATTTCCCAGGTGACCTTTCTATGGCCGCGGCCCTCTTCCTAAATGTTGACTGTACATTTTTATATTCAATAAATAGAAAAAGGAAGTAAAAAGATAAAAAAAATATGCAATTATTGGTTCACAAACTCTCCGGTGTTTTCTCAATGGAGTCTCTCTTAGTTGAATTATGGGCGCATCGTAAAAATATGTATATTGGTGATCTCAGCAAAACCACGTGATACCCACTCTGATCTGATTCATCTTTTTTACTTAAGAAATTTTAAATAAAATGTACATTATGTCCTACTCATTCACTTAGAAATAGTGATTTTTACTGATGAAAAATGACACAGTATTGTTATAGCCGTGTGGATTCGTGGACCTGACAGCCAGTGTATGGATTTTGCTGTTCTGGTTTCACTCCTTGGGAGTTAGCCGACTCCTTCCTCATCTGAATTTGCATATCCGAGATCAATAGAAACGCACTCTTTTAGCTGCGAATTTGCTCTGATTAAAACGAAAAACAATAAAGTAATTTAGGTGGCTCCGCATTCAAGGTGTTGCTCACAGAGCGTGTTACTCAAGGATTAGGGTTATAGGTTTCGAATTTGCGATTTTAGTCCGAACATAAAAATAGCAAGCATGGATATAGTGAAAGGGGTGAGAATTATTCTGTTGCGCTTCTTCAAGCACACCAAAATGACAATCAAAACAAATTCACAAATAACTCTATAGTGAGTCAAAGAGCATGGACAACGAAATATGACGCAATCGAAAGTATCAATTGTTCCTCCTGCATCGTAAAAGATTTTCTTAACTATCACGCCTAAGAGTTGGAACGAATGGCACAAAATCGGAGTGAGGAGTAAAGCGAACATTCATCCTGGTTTATTTTACTACCGTTTTGAATCTGAGCCGTTCCTTTAAGTATTCCCACTGCTGGTATGGACCATAAAGCTGCGTATTTTTCCCTTTCTACATTTCAAACAATCCCAGACCGATTCGGAAACTCCATTCGCCAAACCCAGCCCGTTGAAGAGACTAATGGAATGTTGCGAACGACTGCTCGGTGAACAAACACCGGCTCCTTTTCGCAGCGTTCTTCCCGATAGATACGTGGAGGAAATAATCCGACTGAACGTCACGAAGTCAACCCCATATGGTGATGCTACAGGTGGAGCTGCTCATCCAGTCAATGTTCCGAATGATCCACTTAGTGTGGGTCAAATGTTCAGTGCACTTGATTCCCTGATCGGTGGACAAACAATCTACGGATCATCATGCTGGTCCGATTGTCCACAGGCCCCAAATCTGCTCTGCACTCCTACCTTGCAAATGTGGAGTAATGTGTTCAACATGTTAACACTGCCTAGAACATCCACACTGTGGCCCATCAGTTCGTTTGACTCGGTGGGTACTTTACCGCGAACAGAGGAGATCGGTCCGAAATCGAAACGCCAAAAGCGGGGCTCAAAAACCGAAAGCGCATCCAACACAATACAACCACGTTCAGCGGCTCAGTTGATGGAATATAATGACCATACTGTTGTGGAGACACAAAATCCCCAAACGTGTTTGCGTGATTCCTGTTCCCCAACCAAAAGGCATCACATATCACCTGATAATGTAGATGTGACCACTGGAACCATTATGAAACCTGCAGTAACATCGACGTCACTGTTTTCCGCAACCACGACACTTATAAGAAATGAAATGCAATCTGCACCGGTTGAAACCCAGAAACATTTAAATCTACCAGATCTGACATCCATCGACAGTTCCAATGTGCATTGTGCAGGCTTTAAATCACTTACAGTGCAGGCTCCGGAGCATCCTAACAGTCTCGACCTATTGACCAACCTAATGCTTCTCACAGCACTCTTCCAACAGGTCTGCACTCCGGGCACCGGCACGGGTATAGCCGCGGGTTCGAATACCGTTCCAGCCGCCCAAGGTTGTTCCAGTGGCTCNAGCCATCCATTAGCATGGAACAAACGAATGTGGCCAATCTGCCCATGTTGGGTGGACCGCAATCACCTCTGTTCCTGTTCACGCTTTTGGGACTGTTGCCTACATCATTTCCGCGACAATGAGCACCGATATCCTCGGGATTGATGAGGGAGATTTTTTCTAGTAACCTGATTTTCATTTTTCATCTTTCAAACACTGACGACCGAGAGCTGCCTTGCCAAACGCGGATGGACAGATAGATCAAGGTGATTTCAAATTGGTCCACTTATATGATCCAATTTAATGTTGTTTATGATTAAAACACATTCCAAAAGCAAAAATCAGTTTCTATGAGTCACTCAAATGATCTGTCGATCAGTGGACCGACCGATGTGTACCCGTGCAAAAATCCCCAAACCGCGCGACGCCTATTTCGGTACGATGGCAAGAGGGAGAGCGAGAGAGTGCGTAAAGTGCAAACAAGCTCCACGAAACAAATACACAAAAAAAGCAGTAAGATTCATCAAGCTGACAAAACCGAAAGTGACTTTTTCGTTATGTACGACTGGATGATTCCGTGTTATAAGGACCCGAAATTAGTCAAGAATGCAGTAGGCATTTACGGGGAGAGGAAGTGCATCATCTGCACCGGAAAACTGAAGCACAGAATCGATGATATGCCTGTAGTAAGGCAGGATGTTAAAAAGTATGGAACAGAAAACGTCACCGAAACGATACACTACCAAATTAGGCGAGACAGACACAAGTCAATATAAATTATCGCGGTCTTTTCCGAATACAATTTCATAACGCAGCGACGACCGGAATAATGCTCAAAGAGTTATGATTCACCTAAGTGAATCTGCCTGTTGCGTCATACTGAGGAATGAAACTGGGAACAGCGCATTCCAAAACCTAAGAACTAAGCCTGTTTTACGTGCTGATTTTTTTTGTATGAATCAAAATATAAGCATGCGCGGATTCCAAAATCCTTTTTTGTTGTTATTGTTGACCTCCCACCAAGGTTCGGCGAGTTCTTAGGTACATGATGCGATTCACCTTAGCCGGAAAATTAGTCGGTATGCTAATGACCATCTGGCGTATGCTGCTCGAGGCAGTTTTTGATTATAAAAGTCATTAATAAGAGCGTTTTATCTCACAGAAGAACCATGCGGACCAGAATGGGACCGGTTTAAAACAATCTAGGTCAACAAATAGCTGGCAGCAAAATGATGAGTCAGAAGCCGAAGTTTCCAAGAGCATTAGGTCGACACAGTCCACGAAATGTTAATAAGTGTAAGTATTTATAATTTAGCTTACATCTGCGCAATCGATTCACTTACATCTTTCATTTTTCAAAAGATCAATGTGGCCATCATCTCAATATCGAATACATACACACATAGATTCACATATACATGTATACGTATACATCTTTGATTTCGATTTGCACTGTACTGTACATCCAAATGTTGTAAGGCTATCTCGGGTTCAGTGGATAAATGCAAACACTGTCTGGATGAGGGACAGCATTAATACATACGAAACAATGAGCCACGATAATTGCCACGAAAAGCTGTGTATGTCCATCAAGTTTCACACTTTCGTGAAATGGACTACAGTCCAAGGCTCGTAGTTTCCAGATCAGGACTGTAGGCAATTCGTAGACGAGAATGAATTGTCAGTGAGCGGAAGTATCAGTTAGATCAACATGGGCCGAGTTTGTAAATTTCTTACGGATCTTCCTAGTCAAGAAAACCGGTATGGTGACAAAAGACAGACGCAGACTCCCTGAAACAAGTGAATCCAAAAGAAAGATAAACTATTGCGAACACGGTTGGGAAGCTAAATTAAAATGCATGGTCTGTCATTTACTGGTAATCGATAGACTTATGAAAGATTAACAGCCTAAACCAACCTAATCTGTAAGTGTATGCTGACATACAGATAATAAATTAAAGTAAATACACACAGAACATACCACTTGTGTACGATCTAACCGACAGAATGATTGGAATCTGTCTAACCTTTAATGATAACCCCAGAAGACAATGAGGGAGGTGAGTCACAACACCAGATGACTCGACGCGGTGGGACTTTTACAGATCACAAGCATGAAAAACCCACCAAAATCGAGGGTTTTGTCTGTGGAAAGACTAAGTTTGATCTCGGCTTATATAGCAAATCCTAATTTCTCCGGAGGAAGGAGTTAAGATTTTGAGTTAATGCCATGTAAAACCGAGAAGGAAAGATGATGTGTGAAATGATTCTACCTCCGTGACTGAAGCCCAATCATTGGTTTAATGATACAACAAAATACAATTCAATGGTTTACCAGAAGCCGATTAGGCTGCTTTCCACAACCCGAGGTGAAATCCGGGTCTTTGTGATGTGAATCAAGTTAAGGGCTAGGGGCGTCTCTACGCGCTTCTTTTATTCGCAATGGGAAGACAATCGAACTGAGCCGTCACATTGTTTTGCACGACCGCAATCGTGGGAGTACAAGGACCCACCGATATAAGTAGAATAGACAGCCAAGATGTGGATGATTTCTAATTGGAGGCAGTTAGGTTATTTTTTCCGTATGACTAGTGCCACTACTCCGTTCCTTGGAGTTCGGGCTGATCGGAGATGGTGGTGTTCTTGTGCGAATGAAACCGGAGTCCTGAGATTGCTGAGTGAATGAAGACATGAACTGGACCTCTACTACATCGTTGTTACCATCCGATCAGTTTTGGTATTCACCTCAGATATGCATTTCAAAATACAACTTGGAAAGCCGGGCGAGTAACGAAGATAGTGGTTCCTCGATCCAAATGATCCGTGTCCATCGTTTGTCCCTACACACACTCATTGATCATTCAAAATGCAACCTAAGATGACAGCCAGCCAATAGACAAATGAGAATGCACTTTCTTGAATGAATGCAAATGGATTAGTATGATGACTTTATAGCCAACGGATCCTTCCATACAGGTTTTCTTTAGTCCACGCGCAGTAGATTCCTCTTGACCAGGGCGGGAGACCCTCTGATCCCCAGTTGCCTACACAACGTGATAGCATAGGGATATGCACTCTTATGGGCTACTATCTTGTGCAGTCGAACGTTCGTCTAACACAATGCACACAGTCTCCGCCTTCCAACCCATAAGGAATGAACCTGATTGTTCCCACACCATTGACGCTGGGTTCGACAGTTCAGTTTGATGAGAATCCTGTCCTGGCANGATTTTGTCTTTTTTGGTGTTTCACACGAGTGGTACGAACAATAATTTGCTTCTTCTCACGAATAGCATTGAGGTCTTCATTCCATCACCAGCAACACCTTCCATTGACATACTCCCTAGATTTCGTACAAGAAAACCATTGACTGAGACAACGCAATCGTTTGAATATTGAACTGTCATGCAGCTATACTATTTCTCACCATGAATACAATATTCAACTCTAATGTGCTTTACTTAAGTTGTTTCCAGTTAGGCGTTATTCAGTTATTTTCGATTACATGAGTAGATCTTTTCACCAAGTGCAACAATCCCACATTCCCGGTTCGCATTATTACACGTCCGTAACAAGGCCAAATTTAGCGTCTGATCCCTGTTTCGTGACCCAACTGACCCGAATTAGTAGGTTTTATCAATATTTTGCCACGGGCAACAACTGGACTATAGCCGATTCTCATTTATCATGGGTGTCTTCTGACAAGATACAGCTAAAGAAGCACTCAACCGGGTTCATACGACAAAATGGGGCTGGCATGTATGCATTGGTAAACTGTAGAACTATTTCAAAGGCACCTAGATAGAGGAAACAGGTGTTAAAACTTAGTGATTTTCTTGTTCCCGCCGGTTTAGCAAGATAACGCATAGAGTCAAATGACAGAAAAAATCGTTCCTATGCCATGTCATCCGAATAAAGAATGGATAAGCCCATACACCTAAGTAAAATCTTACTCAAACAGTTGGGGCATTCGAAAGGAGTGCATTTATGACATACAATGAGATTTTACACCATCAAAACGCTAGAGATACTGGTCACCGTGAAGTGGAAAAAACAAATTGAGATGAACGTTTCGAATCGGGTGATATGAAGAACGCCTCAACAATCCATTTTGGGCGATCAAATAAAAAGGGGGCTACGTGTTACAAAGGGTATTTGCTATGTAAAATTGAATGGATGCATAGCGTTTCTCAACCCCCACCCCCCTCTCCCGAAACTCAATCACGTGAAAATGATTTGGATTAGTAGAAAACCCCGTGAGACCTTTGATCAAAACAGTAAGCCACTGTGGAGCACATTCACTGAGAAAAGAGCGGGTAGGTTTATTCGCTTTTCACGCACAGGGGCCCAGTCGAGAAGCCTCCCAAAGTGCACCATGTTGTGTCGGCAACCTACGACCTTTTCATACCANTGATGCCAGTATAAAACGGTTGGTGATTAAACGAGGATTCTTAGGAGAGAACAAAAGGCGAGCTTAGGCATGTAGGACAGAATATTACTAAGGGTCATCGGGGAGCTTCTTCCTCAGGAAAGAGTCGTAGACTTATTGTATGCCGATGATATTGCCTTACTTGGTGACAACACACCGATGATTCAAGACTTGTTACGGTATGTCCTTTGCATCTCCAAAGTGCAAGGTGTTATTTTAAGATTTTCAGGAACCCATTTATGCACTTTCGTTGGGTAACCACACCCTGGAAGAAGTCGAAAGCTGTCTACCTAGGGAGTTGCATAACGGCTGGCAGAGCTGTGGGCGAGATCTCTCAAAGTGTAATCAAAGCTAGATTAGCGTTTGGTAATCTGCGGCACGGCACCTCTGACGCCTGCGCGACAT